TGATAATATCTTATAAAGTAAAGGTCCAATAGATTCTACAAATATATGACATAAGTGTAGTCGTTTTTGACAAAGTTGCGACTCTTGCTGCGGTCGCATGCACCTGTTCCTTTCACCACACAGAACAGGGAGGTCCTCACAGTTTGAAAACCCCTGATTTAGACTGTAAAGAACTTTTATGATAGTACGAAGAGGAAGCACAGCATTTCTTACTGCTTTGATGGATTCTGTGGCTCCATGTTTTTAATGTTGTCCGTGTCTGGGAAAGAAAAGTGTCTTTAACTGAAGTGATCGGAGGGCAGAGACCGAGCTGAAATTGTGGACAATAAGCTATTTAAAAGGAAGTGCTGGACCTTTGCGGGGAGCTTCTGTTGCGCTGTGGGTGGCAGGCTTTTGGAAAATGTTCTCCTTCGGCTGAGTTGAATGCCCCTGTGGATCATGACACTGTTCAGGAGCCGTGGCGGCGTCGGTGTACATACTGTAAAGATGTATATGTAGGACTTCTATGGTTGAGAGTTATTTATTTACGTAAGGATCACGATGTTACTCTGGAAATTTCAGGTAAAATATATTTGAAATATGTAGCATTTTATTTGTCATTAAGTCTATGGACCAACGCGGGAAGGTTTTTGTGTTTACCAGTGCAATATTCAGTCAGGGGCACAACCCACCACAACACAACCACAACACAACCGCACACCACCTGCAGCTGTGTTTCACACCTCCTGGAGACTATTTGTATTCCAGCTACTGTCGACCTCTGCTGTCTCTTTACAACAGTCAGTCTACTGCTGAGCGTTTTATAGGACTTGCTGTACCTATTTTTCAAACTGGAGTATTTTACAGAACCTTTGAAATATAACTCGAGACTGTTTTTGTCAGTCCGCTGCGGGTGCATGGATAAAAGTAAAACCCCATAACTGAGAAAAAAAATATTTAACAAGCTGTTGCATGTCGTCTAATCAAATTGGAACTACGTAACCTTCATGCTTAACAATAATAAACCAGTTATGTTGTCCACTATGTCCTCACTGTTTAATGACACATGTCTATGTATGGAAGAATCCACAGATTATATTTGAGATTATTGCCACTTTTGGATAAGAAGTCATACATTTACAGATCTTGAGCTCAGATTAAACAGTGCAGTCCAGTGTTAGTTTGTGGTTCCACTTCATAATAATGCAGCCTTTAAAAAAGATTATGAACTGGCTTTATTCATAGTTAAAAGCATTTTAGGAAATGTTCATTCCTATTCATGTAGAATATTTAATGAGACGGTTGATGCCACTCTGATAGCTGTCAGTTATCTAATGAAATAATTATCAGCAACAGTTTTGACAGAATCATTTCAAAGAATTTTAAAGCAAAAATAGTGAAGAACATCTTCTCAAATTTGAGAAATATGTTGCTTTCCTCTTCTTCATTCAGTTGTTACCTGAACATCTGTCAGTTTTAGACTGTTAGTCGAACAGAATGAAACATTTGACTACATATTCATGGACTTTACATTAATATGGACATTATGGTCCTATTTTTGACACATACCAGCGTTTTTAAGCACACAGGCTGACCCATACCTACTCGCTTTGTGGTTAGCTTAGCTTAGCATAAAGACTGAAAACTACAAAAATTGCGAGATTGTCTTTGTCCAAATATAACAAAACAACAACAAAACAACAACAATGATATCCCTTAAGCTCACAAATTGACTCATGGGATCAAGTTGCCGTGCAAAAACGTGGAAGTGTAAAATGAACAATTTGGTTAGCAAAGCATAAAGACAGCAAGCCAAAAGCTGGCAAATTCCAGTTATATCTGTAATATCTGCAACCACATCGACACAGCAGTCACAACAGGTGAGCTTAGCTTAGCATAAAGACTAGAAAACTGTTTATTATAAACTAAATATCTTTGGGTTTAGGACTATTTTAACCTTGAAATAATGTTTGTCAGGAAAGATGGCATTTAATAGATGCAATTACCACCACAAATTAAATGTAATATTTTTTTAATAACAAAATAATCATTAGTAAGAGTCGTGTAAAGCTGAGAACAGAAACTTAAAACAGGTAAACAGCAGCTGCCAAAACCTCAAATGCTCAGAGATCGGCTCATAGCATGTTGAATAGTCAGTCTGTGAAAATATCTATAACAAATCTAAATGTCAGACATCCCAAAATGTCAGACTATTCCTTTTCTTAAGTTATTTACTGATGTGTAACTGATCTTTTAAAGGACAAATTGTGGGTTTGAAATCTGTAAAAACCTTTTTTTTTTACATTGTACTACTACAAAATTGATGATTAGAATTCAGTATTCTTCACTTATTTACATGAATAACAGTAAAAGAAACCCAGCAGCATTTATAAAAAGATTACAGCATTAACAACCATATTAGCAGGTAAAAATGTATTTCTAACAAGCTGCCAAACAAAAACAAGTCTTTATTCATGTCTGAATGATAAATGTATAAACCCTTTTTGAAGGTTGCCTTATTAGAAAGTGGTACTGACTTGTTATTTTATGATTTTACATTATTTAACACCAACACTTGGGACTATTTTGTATATAACCTTCTAGAGTTTAATGTCACAAATACCGTAGGACTGTAGGTCTATGACAGATATTAAGGTGTTCAAATGCATGGTGGCAATAATTACTATATATTTTGGATATATACAGTATTTAAGATTAGATTCACGTTTAAATTGAAAAGTGTTTTAGTAAGGCTTTATTTTAACCCCGTCTTTTTCATATAAGCAGTGTATAAATACTTAATAATAATAAATATTTTATAGCACGCGTAAATGTAGTTGTACGCAATTATATGCACCTTTAAATGTGGTTATTTGTTAAAACTTTACCAGCCCCCACATCAATTACTGGATTATAGATAATTAATAATTGCTTTAAGCATTCATTTAAAATGTATGCTATGTAGTATTTTATGAATATATGAATAAATCATGATAAATGTCCTTATATCTGCCTACAGCTACACTACAGTGTCTTGAAATGTTTATATACTGCTTATAAATGTGATCAGAGGGGATTAAAACAGTATTTCTGCATCATGGTAGCTGCTCTAACTTATTTCTACAAGGTTCAGGTGATGCTTTGATCCCCGACACTGACGGTGTCGGATCAAAGCACTGCAGCTGGATCACAGTTACTCCGCTCACACGTTCAGTAGCTCCTCATGTCTCCTAGTTCTTACAGATCTCTGACCACGGGCCCCGAAGCGCTCCGACATTGTCTGTACTGTGGAATAAATACAATTGGACAGTAACTTGTGTTTGTTTGTTTTATTATCTACAATATATCTAGCAGACTTTTTATGAATTATCATGAAATTCTAACACCGTAATGCAGAAAAGCTATTTATATGATTTCAATAAGTGATTCTATCCAGGCTCATGGGATGTTTGGAAAATGTGTTCAGGAGCTGGAACTCATTTGGCAACAAGTGTGTTCCAAGAGAGCACAAAATGAGACATGTTCATGTAAGTCTTGAAATAATGTCTGAATTTAGGGATTTAGAAACAGCTCTGCTCTTCATTCAGTGAGCCAAGAGGTTAACAAGCCCGTAAATATTCCTATCCAGGCCACACTTTGATGTATAGTGATTTTTTTGTTCGACCAATAGGTTTCTTCCTGCTCCAAATGACAAACAAAATAAAAGTGATGATCTTCAGCTCTTGGTCAAAGCCCTTCTTACCATCATGCTGGGCTTCAGCTCCTCCACAGTTTATTGATGGATTCAGGTCTGGACTCTGACTGGGCTGCTCCAACATGTTCATATTGTTTTTGGGTAGATATGTTTTAGATCACCATCCTATTGGAGGCTCCAATGCTGACCATGGGCATTTTTTAAATTCACTACTTTTTTTTTTTTTTTTTCACAGCATTTTTTAGCCCTTATAGGTACATAAATACAGGTGATGGACACATGAGTGCTGTTGTTTTCTATAACCAACTCTGAGCTTCAGTATCATGGGATATGTCATCGTTTTAATAGAAAAACGGCACTAGTTTAATGTCTATGACAGAGTCATAGAAACAAACATTGATACCCTGGATGTGTTTTCTGGGCTGTAAGGTGGCTTGGTGGTTATCACCATAGCCTTGCAGCTAGGAGGTCCCTGGTTTGCGTCCCGGTGAGGACACCCAGGATCTTTCTGCGTGGAGTTTGCATGTTCTCCCCGTACAGCGTGGGTTCTCTCTGCTTCCTCCCACAAGTCCAAAAACATGTTGAGGTTAATTGGTGACTCTAAATTGTCCGTAATGTGAGTGTGCATAAGTGTAGCTCTGTGATAGACCGGTGACCTGTCCAGGATGTCTCCTGCCTTCACCCTAAGTCAGCTGGGATAGACTCCAGCCCCCCCGCGACACTAGTGAGGAGTAAGTGGTGTATAGATAATGGATGGATGGATGTGTTTTCTGATAATTCAACAGAGAAAACTTTTAAAAGGTGCATTTTGGTAAACTTTCAAGGATCATTATATGTGTGTGGCTGGTCAAGTACTGGTTCATCTTCCAGTCATGATTCCTGCTATGTCCTTTTCTAACAGGTATAAACTTAGAAAATAAAAGTACGGTAAACTAGGATAGGATGCCTGAATGCCAAACTTCCTTCCTGACTGTTCGCTACAGCCAATTTTTATGTCAGACCTTGTATTTGATCATAACAGCTTTACTAATTTTTAATTAATATTGAAATCAAAAGACATGTTTTTAAGGTATGCTGATATAATATTCTGACACTACAAACCCAACCTAAGTTTGTCTTTTTAAAGAATGACAAACAAACTTTCCTACTGCAACAAGAGTCATGCAGAAGGTTTAGTTTTATTTTAAACAAAAAATAACTTTTTAGTGGTTCAGTTTATGATAAATGTTGCAGCTGTATCACTCTGCCTTATAGCTGCATATAAACAAAGTTTTTTTTCCCTCTAAACCTGTTGTTCTGGTCCAGGTGAAATAAAAACACACACAGCAACAAGAAGTAGCCTTTCTTTATTATAGCAAATGAAAAATCAGTTTCAGTAAATGTTGTCTGGAACACTGATCACTGTGCACCGTTTAGCTCAATTAATGTCATGGAGGGTTAGCTTAGTGTTTTAGGCTTTACCTCAGTCAAACCTTTATTACATACAGTATCAACACAGACACACAGTGGCTCATTTTACACACAAACTCGACATGCCCCATTCGAGCTGAAACAAGGGCAAGGACGGGAAGAAAATCCTCCAAATATTGCACAAAATGGCAACAGCTGTTTATAAAATTGGCCAAAGTGAGGAGAAGCTATGATTGACTCTATAAAAATTCATTTACAACAAATAATTATCCACCTCTTTTTTGTTTTTTAATGAAGCACTTGTGACTTTGGACACGTACAGAAACCTTGTAGATACACGTCACAGGAGGATGGAGGAGCGACGACGGTCGACTCTCTGGTTCTACGGATGGATGGACGGATGACGGGAAGCAGCCTGTACAGCAGAGAGGTCGAGGGGAGACCGATGAAGTCAGGAAATCACAGCTGAGTTTCATCAGCTCTTTCATCTGCAGTGACCTCCTCAGCGGCAAGACTTCACCTTTCTGAGGACGAGTCAGAGTTACAGTGAAACATTGTTGGTCTATAGAGCCCGAGGCCTCTTGGGGGTTATTTGTTTGCTCGCTTGTTCCTCTTCCTGGAGAGCACAACGGAAAGACTTGACTTTATCTGAAACAAGAGAGAACATCACACATACATGTTTTATTTGGCTGTTTACCATCTCTAAAAACACAACGTTAGAATCCTCAGTCTGTTACAGATTATTCAATAGTGGGATTTACATGTTGTCTTTTATTTGATGTTGTAGAGTTACAGAAGCTTGTGGGTTCAGTTTAAGTCTGACTGTGTTTTGCCTCAAACTCAGGCTTTTGGTCAGACTATCACTGAGAAGGTAAACTAGTTTTTACAGACCGATCTGATCTGATCTGTGGTTTGGTTCTCTTGTTTCTGTACAAAACAGGTAAAGACTGAAACAATAAATGAAAGTAAAAAACAGTAAATCACACATTAACTTGGTGCTGCTGTGGTCAGCCAGGTAAGCCTTGTGCTGTGTTTTTGTGTTTAATGAAATTGTCTGAAGGGGCCTCAACACTAGTCATTCATACCTCTCAGCTCAGTGAGGATGTCGATCTTCTGATCCAGGATTTGTTCTAGTTGAGTTGCATATGATTCAACATCGTAGTCGACTTCCTCCGTCATTTCCAAAAGCACCTTCTCGTCTTCCAGCCAGCGGATCGACTCCTGCAAAGAACAGGCTGAAGGTTAATGCTTTGTACTTCACAACCTGGCGACAGATTTGAAAGGAATGTTATCTCTAGAACATCACTTCAGCTACCCCATTTATCAGCTGAAACTGAACTAACTGTGTGTGATGAGCTGTCGTAATATTTAATCAAAATCGCTCTTCTACATGACTAAAAAGAAACCATTGCCCTATATTTAGTGTTTTGGGTGAACTGCAGGCTGTGTTTGCACAGAGCAGAGAGGAGACGAGTGTGGAACCAAAGAAACTAAAACACACTAGATTAATAAAATACATGCAGCATGGTTCATAAAAATTATACAGAGAGGTACGTTGTTGGTAGATACATGCAGCAGGGTGAAATATCTTGCATCATGCGTTCATCCAGCTTTCATGTACAGTGCAGTGTTAAGAACAGTGAGTTTGTCGAGGTTGTAAAACTGTTACAATATAACATATACTATGCAGCGCTAACAGTTTTTCCAGTATAAGTAAACACACCTGTGGGAAGAAACTTGTTGCACACACTGATTACATTTTTTCTTTAATGTAGAACAAATAATCCAAGATATCTAACTTCTGTTTATTTAGTTTTTATGATTCATGACACTATGACTATGTTACACTGCATGGAAGACATCTCTGAGCTCTCTGTACATCTAACCGAGGTTGTGTTGTTTCAAATAGAGGTCCAGGACTCTATATTGCAGTGAGAAGTGAGTCCACACTGAGGAAAAGGTGACAATAGCAACACCCAGAAACTACTTGGAGCTCAGATTATTGACACATCACAGTTTCAGTGTCATACTGCCCCACAAAGGCTACACTCAGTAACTACATAACCGGTTGAGCTTTAACCTCCAACTGACTTTCTGGCACAACTAAAGTCAAGTGAGAGCTAGCTGCTAGGATTTGCTGAAACTAAAGCTAAGTTTAGTTATTGGGTTCCCTCATCCTCCTAGTTTGTTATTATATTAAAAATATCACATTTGGGTTACTCAGTTTTATTCCACAAAATTAAATGAAACAGCAACTAAATCAGTTCATGATGGAGAAGAATAAAACAGCTCAACTCCTGCTAAAGTTAGCTAGCGTAACAGATCTCAGCAGCATTTTATTTTTTTGATTATAGTGAATTATATGTGACTGCGTGATCAGGCAGCTTTAAATCACACATTATAATGTATTTCATTTAGATTAGGTAAAATAATGCCAGTAATAAAATATAGTAGTAAAGTAAAAACAACGATCAACTGAAAGCATTACAGCTTCAGCTAATACATCTAAAGTCAGAGTCAGAGCCATGTCAAGTGAGAACGGTGCTGACTAACGTTAAACGTAAAGATGACTGATTCCCCCCACAGCTTTTCATGTGTAAATGTCAAACATCAGTTCTGTTCAAGTGACATGCTGGTTTGATATTCCACACTTGAGCTGAACAATTTGAGGAATATATATAATTAGGATTTTTTTCCACAGATATTGTGATTTCATTTGCGATATCATTCAGTCCTACTTCAGTTCAATATTTCCTGTCTACTAGATTTAAAACTTGTGATGGAGCATGACCATATGAGATACAGTTCAATAGTGACAGTGACACCAGAAGGGCGGCATGAATCTGTGAAACCACTGACACGACATTTTAAACTCTGGCTTAGACGTGCTGCAAAATGTGCATCCTGAATCGCTAATTGCATGTTTCAGATTGCAAATCAATTTAATGTCCAGCCTCACTCCAGGGTTTGTGTTTGAGGACATCTGTACCTGGAATACAGCCCTGTGGTCCTCCAGGACCTGCTCCTCCATCTCCACCAGCTGAGAGACGGCTTCATGGAAAGTGAAGAGCTGCGGGGAAACCTCCTCCTCCTGAAACAAACCAACAACAGACCTGTTTATGAACTGAAAACTGCTTTTGACACTTTACAGTGAAACTACGCACATTTTACTGATAGAAATTTCTTTGACATCATTTCCAAGCAGTAAAACTAAAGTACTAACACCCAGAGTTGCTTCAGTCTCTTACATTCTGTTCACAGAGCAGCTTCAGGTCGTCTCTCTGCGGAGAGCTGCCGACTCCCCACTGAGCCTCCAGCACCTCCAGCTGGGTGATGTGTCCTCCCTGACGGCTCTCCATGGCTGCTGCAGGGTCCACTGTGAGCTCCTTCACCCTGACAACACATCACAGCTGCTCGTAAAACAACAATCTGATGACTGCGACTGCTGCCGAGGTGAGCAACAACAAAGTGTATGTGATGTAAATACGCAGGCATGCTGCTGGAGACATGCCGCTCAGCATGCCACGGAGGAACCGAGAACACAGAAACATGAAGGTGATGGGGAACTTCGCGCAGGTTTTAGGAAATCAAGCCTGCAAAAAAAAATAAAAGCAGACAAATGATAGACACGAAAGCAAAATGAATAAACAGCAGGACAAAAAAATGCAGATGTTCTACTGACTCTGGGATGAAGTGATGGAACAAAGTGGGCCAGGATGCACTCAGATGATTATTAGACACCTTTACTTTGACATATTAGTTTTTTCTTTATTGTTTTTGTCAACAAATCCTATGAAAAGAACAAAACCAACCAACAGTGTGCTTTAATCCAGCTGTTTTTAACAACATTTTTTATTTGTGCATGTAACGACTACGATGGATTAGAAGCTGTGGTGCATTAAAGGTGGTGTAACAATGAAAACAAAACATCCAAACTAAGGAGACAAAAGATTACTGTGGATGAACATATGAAGACTAATTTTTTCTCATTGAATAGATAAAACATAAACGTCACGTTTTCTAAATCATGTCATTTAATGAATTGACTCAACCAGTAGAAAACCTGACGTCTGTATCTTCAACAAAGTAGTTCCTCCTAGAAGTGTTTAGCAAACGTTACTTAAACAGGATGAAATAGTGAATGAGTTGGAGAACATTTACATACTGATGATGGAGAAATCAGACATATTAAGCAATACTTCTAAGTGGGACACATTTATTGATGGTTTTAATCTTTTCATAGGATGTGTTCACAAAAACAAAAGAGAATTCTAGAAAGTTGTAGTTGATCTGAAGTCAAAATAAAATGATTTGAGGTGACAGGAAGCAACAGGAAGTGGTTGGTAACGGGTAAAAACAAGGCAGATGCTGCACAGATTCAGCTCAAAGTAGTCACTGAGTGATTTTACAATCAGGGTGAACTGATGCCAGACTGGAGGTGGCTTCATGTGCGGTTTGACGGGTCGCCACACCTGATTCACTCCAGAACGAATCAATGATGTGGATGTCAGATATGTCTGTGGACAGCTGGCATGTCAGAAATGTAATTTAGCTGTTAGTGTGTAGTTTGAGCAATTCCACGATTCGATTTCCCAGAATTCAGCATGAAGTTAACTCAAGTACAGAAGCAAACCACATCAAACATGGTGCAGATCAGAGAGCATGCTGTGTGGACAGAAGTTTGGTTAATCGCTGTGACCGGTCAACTGAAGCGGAACACGGAGATCGCAGGATTAATGGTCGATTAAAACGAGCATGACGAATAAGATTATTAAAACGCACAGCGTCTGCCCCGCTTCATTTGTGAGATGTCAGATAGCAATAAAATGGTGAATATGTGATCGTACTCATAAGTAGGAGAGAGCTCAGAGCGACCTCCTCCACCCCCGCTCTGGGAGAAAGGAATGTCTGAGGGACTGATCCCAAACTCCTTTACTCTGGAAAAACATGGCAGGAGAGAAACAGACATGACCAAGAGGAGCAGAGGATCACTGTTTTTACAATAATATGCATTAATGCAAGACAAACATGGGCACACACGTAACCAAGCAAACTTGGAACTAAAAAACTGAAAAAAGTCAATCAAAAATTTCTAATGCTGGACAGCTCGGACTTTTTCAGGAGAATGAGTTTTACCTGTTGGCGTATCTCAGTGTGTTCAGGGTGTTTTCACAAGACGCCATCCCAGGAGAGATGGTCGCAATCTAAGGGAGGAATCATCAGCCAGTTGTTCAGCAGAAGTGTTCATTATGATCACAGGCTTCCGTCCACAGTGATACATGCAGTGCTGGTGTGTTCCTACCATGCATGTTCTGGAGTTTTCTCCGATGAATGAGTCCCTCAGCACCTGGGTTAGCTTGCTGGCTCTAAACGGAGTGTGTGGTTTGTTTCTGCCCAGGGCTCGAATACACTCCTGCAGAAATACACAACACACACACACAGGAGGAAAGGATCAAAGATCATCTGATAATCAGCTAATGTCACACTTTACTAAATCATTTATAAAGGAAACATAGACAATATTTATCAGCACAGGATTTGCTGTTTCATGTCACAAAATAAAACATGTGGGTAGTCTGAGTTTAGGATTGTTATTAACACCCCAGTTTCCATCAGACAATGGAAAAAAGATGCATTTAAAAAAACAAGAACATGGTTCTGATGAACACAGCTGCTTCAGCTGTAGGTAATATCAAAATGACCCCACCTCAGTTTGAGCTGCCTCCTTCTGCCACCACCAAACACTGACTGAATGTTTTTAGCTTTTTAAATAGATTATTATTATTACTACCCGTTACACATCTCAACTCATTTACATTACAAATAATGTCAGTTTGCTCTGACAAATAATTTGCACATAAATGCACAATGTGACTATATCACTTTTATGATATATCATATACATGCTATATAATTTTAGAAAACGTTGGATTCACTACAACTATTTGTCTTTTACCAGTGTTTACGGACTTTTTAAAATCTTTCATCCTTTCTTTAAAAAGAACGTCAGTGTTGTCAGTGTTTAATGTTATGTATCATTCCAAATCCTTTGTATATAAAACCCTACTTGCCAATAAAACTGATTCAGTGTTTTCCTTAAAAATGTTTTTTTTTTTTAAATATGGAGGCTTTAGCCGCCCATAGTCAGATCAGGGGAGGTAAAGGAGGTAACTGCTGACTTTATAATGTGTCTGCATGTACATAGTTTAAATGAAGTATTGACACAGTGAGACACAAGTATTGCAGCAGCTGGTCCATAGTGACCATTTTTAAGTTCTAAATCCATGACAGCCACAGCAGTGGAGCAACAACACAGAAGCACTGAGGGGAGACCTTGAGTGCCAGCAGGCTCTTGTTAATCTCGGCTCCCTCGAGGCGGGTCTGCCGGTCAGCGCTCGATGTGTCTGCCCCTCTCTCATTCCCCGCCAGGTCGATGAGGGAGAACTTTCCGTGCATCTTCCCTCGCCGACGCAGGATGATCTGGAACACGGCGTGACTCCGAGAAGAGTGAGCGTTTGCCGACGTCTGACCGGACGTCCTGCAGGAGACAACACGCTCGTTCAGCTGCACTCAAACTGCTCCTGGTTATTTTTACCGATGCTCTCCTCCCGTGTTTACCTGCAGCTGTTTCCCACTTCGATGAGTTTGAGGACGTCCTCCGTACACTTCACCTCCCTCTCCTGCAGCCCCACCACCTGCACCTGCTGCTTCCCGTCCTCCAGGACCCGCAGCTTGGCTTTACGGTTTAACAGGTCAAACACCTTCAAATGCGAATGAACACAACTGGAATCAGTTACTGACTCACAGCAGGAAAAAACACATCCAACTTTGTGAAAACATTTATTACCCAATGAGGACACACTTTACTTTTATCAGTAGTATATAAATGTTGAATAAACATCAGTGTAGACTATAATATCTTGAATTTTTTAGGTCTTTATGTGTAGTAATAGTCAAAAGTTTTGATACACCTGCTCGTGAAATGCCTTTTCATTAATCTTACTCTAAAACTGTGAACAAAGTAAGTTTTAGATTATTCAGTCACCTTATTTTGCTTTGCACATTCTAGCTTTTCATGGCTGTTTCATTTTTAAAAATACATTTTCACTACATTCCTTGTCTCCTATTTTATAGTTTTGGTGTCTCTTCAGTTTTGTTCTTCACTGTATCAAAAACTAAAAATAAAGAAACTAACAGTTATATTAATTATTGATTACATGCTGCTGTATATTTCCCCAATAAATCAAATGGTCTGTAAAATGTCAGACATCTATAGTTATCTCCTTCAGGCCAACATTATCTCTAAATGTTGTTGTTTTTGGTTTTTTTTTTCAACCAACACTACTGAGGTCTGTATTACGAAGCAGGATTGTGTTTAGGGAGGTAACTTCAGGCTACAGCTATGGCTCACTTCTTACCAGGGCTGCAACTGAAGACTATATTTGTCATCGATTAATCTGTTGCTTATTTTCTCAAGGAATTTTTAACATAACCTTAACAAATCCTGCTTTTTGTCACATAAAACTGGAATCCAAACTTGTACTCAAGTTACTTAAAAATCAAGCAGCATCTACCTGCAACATCTCTTTGCAGGGAAGTATTAATGTCTAAACTGGTCATTTTTCTGTCATTAGAATATATTTTAAAACTCTGAAAGGGAAAAATCTGAATAAGAAGAAGCAGAAACTGAAGAAAAACTCCAAATCTGTGCAGTTTGTTTCTTTCTTCTTAATGTATCCATGAACCCTTGGATGTATTTTGGGACGAGTAAAAGGACTTTTTGGTGTTTTTACTTTAAATATTACCTAAATGTTTAAATTGATTATCAAAACAGTTGCTGATATGTTTCATTTAACTAAAAATCTCACATGTGCCTCTAAAATATTTATTTACTGCTTATTATTGAAAGATAAATGAGATTATTATAAGACGTGTTAAGACACTTGCCTTCCCGCTGTAAATCTCAAAAAAAGTGGCAAAAACTTGCAGATCCAGTTTCTTGTAATTTGGCTTCTTCAACATGAGGAAAACGTCTCTGGCTGCAGGGAGAGAAAACAGACGCTCAGCTGAATTCAGTCAAACAGAGTCAGATGCAGTGAAGATGGTGATAAAGGAGAAACTGACCAGACAGTGCATAGATCCCTTTAGAGCAGTCCTGGTTCTTTCCTGAAAAGTCTCCTCCCATCGTCTAAAAGGAGACAAACGTTACAACATGACAAGTGACACTGAAACCTAACTGTCCTCAGGTCAGAGTCAAAGCACTCACATGTGTTTTCCCACTTCCAGTTTGTCCATATGCAAAGCAGGTCGCCATCCCCCGCTCAAAGATGGTCTCGACCAGCGGCTGTGCGGTGAACCTGCAGCAGAGGAGGGTTTATTAGCAGCAGGAACTCAGTGGGAAGAGCTGCAGCGTAGAAAATAAAACCCTGTGTACCTGTAAACCATTTCATTGGTGGAGTTCTCGTCGAAGGCATAGTCAAATCGGAAAGTTTGGTTCTCCAGGTAGCGTGTCAGGTCGACTTTCTGCTTGGGCTCGTGGACCATCACCACGTCCTTACTGGGGATGGTGATCACATCCAGGTCCTTCACTGACAACTCTGGAGAGACAAAGAGATATTCTGCTCATGAGCAAACACACAGCGTGCGACAAGCAAAATGAACAAAGCTGCAACTGAAGATTATTTAGACTATTAATAAAAATGCAGATTATTTTCTTGATTAACCTTCTAAACTGTCACTCGCCAGCAAGTTTGAATATGTTATCTATTAAAAAACTGTGTCATGACACCATTTATCAGAGAAAACAACCGTAAAAAAAAAAGACAAAACTGAAAACAAAGAATTCTGAACTCTGAGATGCAACTGAGAAGCCATTTATGACTCGGCTCACGTGACAAAAAGTCAGACTATTTGGCTGAACAGCAGGCGGCGTTTCCACACAGCAGATAGGAGCATATGGAAGCAAATTAAAAATGTAAAATGGTACAATATCTAAAGCCTGTGAAACCAGTATTGGTGCCACCTGTGAGCAAATGTTGTGCATGTTGATTCAAAGTTTTCTCAATCTTGTAAATTAAATAATCAAAGACATTTTATTTATCTTTTTTATAATTTATGCCACTGTAAATGTGTCATACCACACGGATGATATTTCTGAGTCCTTTCTACATTAGTCATGGTTGTGGTGTTTCCACAGAGGTGCAGGATTTTATATTGCAGTGAGACATGAGCCACAGTGAATTGATCAACAGTTCATTTCCTGTTGATCAACTGACCAAAGTGACTAACTGACTAGTTCTTGCAGCGCAAAGACATAACACAAGGAAAACTTTAGCAGAGGCATGACTGCATATACAAAAATTCAATGGCAAGACATAACTGTCTGCACATTGTTCAGTCACAGTACGACTTCATCTTCCAAATATTTTACCTTCATGAAAAACTTACACAAATCCAGAGACTTTGTGAAGCTGTGGGGAAAAAATGGATCCACGGAGTCTAAAGAACTTATATATGTGTATTTTTACCAATAAAAGTTAGTTGTTAGAGGTGAATTTATATGCTACACTCATCCTTATATCCCTCTTACTAACCACCTTTCATAAACATCTGTCAGCACTGGAGAGGAACTAAGTCTGTCTGCTGGAGTACTGAACCTAAACACTGGTGATTCCTGGAGCAGCACAATGAAGAACCTGCTGAAAACAGCTGATCTCACCTTTTTTATTGAGGGGGCGTGCACGAACACACACACATATCCGGTGCTCCTCAATCTGAAATGTCAGAGTGCATAGATCAATACATCAATAGATCAATAGATCAATACATGTATGTAGGGTTTGTATGTTTGTACTGACTACATGTGCTTCAGTGCTCAGGTCAAGTTCTACCTGTATGTTTGCATCAGAAGTGATAGAAACAAAAAGTTAAGACAAAAGACAGTTTGGTTTGTGTTTTTCTCCTTTTTGTCTACACTTCCTTCTCTTCCTCCTCCTACTTTATCTCCTTTATTCCTCCTCTCCTCCCCTGCCACATTTGCTTCTCTGTTTGTTCTCCATTCCTCTCTATTATTTCCTCCCTTCCTTGTCTCCTTCTCATCCCCTTCTCTTTCTCTACCTCCTCCTTTGATTCTTTAACGCACATTTCCTTCCTTTACTTGTCCTCTGTCTCCTTTTTTCTTTCTTCATGCCCTCCTCTCCTCTTCCATTCTTTGTCTCCTTCTTTATCTCCCCCTTTCTTTATTTCCTCCTTGCTTCCTCTCCTTCGCTTCACTGCTCTTTTCCTTCTTTATCTCTTCATTTTTTTTCATTTTTCATCTCCTCCTTTCTCCTTCTCTACCTCCTCCTGTCCTTGTCCATCTCTTTTGTTCATCCTAGCCTTCTTTCTTTGTCTCATTTTCTAACTCCTCTTCATTCTTACTCCTCTCTTTCTCTAACACATCCTGTCTTGCTCTCATTCTCTATCTCTTTTCCTTCTTTATCTCTTCCTCCCTCATTTTTTTCATATTTCATCCATCTCCTTCTCATCCAGCTCCTCCTGTGCTTTCACCTTTAACTGTTTCTGTACTCTCAGTGTGTATCGGCAGCTCTAAACTCACCAGATCATTGGTGGTTAACGGTCTGTAGTCCAGACTGGCTCTGAAGTCTCTGATCATACACATAATCTCATAATTTGGTAAATTGACGTCCACCTCCTGCAGTGGGACAGAAAGCAAAAGTGATGATGTTTTATAACCAAAGACTAAAACCTGTCAGGAGAAATGCCTCAAAGAATGGCCACTTTATTGCTATATAAAGTCAGAATAATTACATATAAATGTGTGTGTATCATATGTACATGTTTTGTCCTCACCTGTGCCCTTTTCTCTCGGAGTTCTTGCTGCTGAAGACGCCTCTTCTCTCGTTTCTCCTGCAGTTTCTCCACCTCCTTCACACAGTTGGATTTCCTCCGGGCTGGAAAAGAAGAACAGTAAAGATCGAAATAATCAACAGCAACAGACAAAACATTAAAAGGTAAGACTGGAGTCCACTTCTGATCCACTGTTTAAAAAACATTTCTCTTTTAACTGTCTTTTTTTTTAACCATTCTATTGTTATTTTACAGAAAGAAGAGACAAAACTACGAATAACATCCACATTAACAATCTGTATATTTACAAATGTTAATTTAACTTTTGACAATGTTTGACGATAATTAAAGTCTGTTGAAAATATAATAACTTTACAGATATTTTGCATCATTTTCACCAGTTTTTAAACATTACAGTATTCCATGGTTCTTTTTAACACATACACTTGCTGCCAGGTTTTCACTCTTGCTTTCACAGGATTTTTTTTTTTTACAGTGTACATTAAGTACATATTTCTGATGATATTTACTGACTTTAAGTGCATGACTTTTCTGAGTATTTTTATCCTGTAGAATTACTTTAACTTCAGTAAAGTATCTAAATACTTCCTTCACACACTTTGAATATATATTTATTAAACAATAACTTCATTCATGTATACGTCACAGAATCATGGTTCATCACGATAGTTTTATATATACTATACAGTAAACAAATGAAAATGTGATTCATAAAACTCCTTCAATGTTGCATTTTCTGGTTCAAACAATAAGTGTAGCAAATTTCATGTTGATTTATGGAAGTACTGAGGTTTACTATGCACACATTGTGCACGAAGTTGAAAATATATGAGTAGTAATAAGATGTTTTAATTAATAGCAAAGCATCAGTAGAGTACCAATAAACTTGTAATTTTACATATTTATAATTTAGAAGTTTCTAATGATTCTGACAGTTGGATTACATAACATCTGGTTTTGTTTTGGTAAATGAGCAGCTTGTTTCACATGTAAATAAACTGAAGATGCTGGTGTCCAAACAGCAGGGGGCGCCGCAGAAAGATAATTAGAATCAATTCATTGTTATTCTTGGTCTTTTGATTTGATTAATTGATAGTTAAACATAGATAAACAACAGATTTTTGCATTTAAATTACTCTGAAGAGTCAAGCGTTGCATTTGAAAACTTGATTCTATTTCCAGATTTATGGTAATTCAAGCAGCCACAGAGGAAAACTAAAACAAGTGCTGTAGTATGAAGCCAGAGCCAGTGAAAGAGCCTTTGACGCCCTCAAACACAGCTGTGTGGATGCATGACATCACTCTATCTGGCTGCTGCAGCGTACCCTCCACCACAGAACAACAGCAGAGATGCTGGAAACTTAATCCAAGTGCGTCTGCGAATACAAAACAGAGCCAAGTGGACATGAATCACCTCTGACATGAAGTACCCAGACAGAGTGTGTTACCGTTCTGCTGCTGCATCAGCGCCTGGTTCAGGGCAGGCTGGGGAGCGATGGCAGGCGGAGGCGGCTCTGCAGCTTGGCTGTGCTGGCTGGGACGGGCCCGAGTGGTTCCCACTGCTGCAGCTGAGAAGCACACAGTCCTTTATAATCACTCATTTGTAGGTCAACCCAAAGTGCCAACACAAAACAAACTATTATACGAATCAGTTTCTGTGCAAACTGTTCACACAGACACTGAGCCTCAAGTAACAACATCCTGTTTGCATATCGTGACTCACTTCTTTATTTCTGTGAGCTCTACCTGTGGGATTGTTCCACGTTGGGTCGACCAAACTGTCATCACTGCACAGAATAAACCACACATATAATCCAGATAGACAGAGTTGTGAAGTGAAAGGAGCTGCCTTTTCTGTTTCAATCAAGTCAAAATTAAATAAGGTTTATTTATATAGAACATTCAAATACTAGGGGTCGCCCACTGTTGTTGTTTCAGGGCTGATACAGATTATTATTCCTCATGGAGAAATACACCATGTTGTGTTTCAATCTGTCTTTTAAATTGAGGATTTTATCACTTGCTTAATTTTGCTGCCTTGTAAAGCACTCTATAACCTGGATTTTGAAGAATACTCTAAAGCTATTATCTATACACCGCTTAATCCTCACTAGGGTCGCAGGGGGCTGGAGCCTATCCCAGCTGACTTAGGGCGAAGACAGGGGACACCCTGGACAGGTCACCAGTCTATCACAGGGCTACACTTAGAGACAGACAACCAAGCACACTCACATTCACACCTACGGACAATTTAGAATCATCAATTAACCTCAACATGTTTTTGGACTGTGGGAAGAAGCTGGAGAACCCGGAGAGAACCCACACTGCACGGGGACAACATGCAAACTCCACGCAGAAAGATCCCAGGTGTCCTCACCGGGACGTGAACCAGCGACCTTCTTGCTGCGAGGCAACAGTACTAACCACCGAACCACCTTGCAGCCCAGATAACGATTATTATTATTATTATTATAATTCTAGTCACTACTATTATTAGAAAGAGTTGGCTGCATCAGAGCCAAAGTAGTGTATTTCTAAATTCATTGATTTAATTATGAAACATTTAAAAAATAGAACACTGATAGTCTGAAAAATGTTAAATTGTGATTCCGATAATTAGCCAGTCAACCCATATTGAATACCACCAAAGTGCTGCAGATTTTCCTGGCAACAGCAACAAAAATATGTGCAAAAATGACAAAGTCAGAAAAGATGAAACACAAATGTAAAAAAAATAAAAAAGCAAGACAGAACTAACAACTTGTCAAGTCCGTTTCCAAAAACAGTTGTGTTCAAGATCTAATAGGTCTTAAAACAGTCTCCTAATGTTACTGAACACAGAAATGTACTTTTGTTTAGCCACCAGGTTAATTATCTAAATTTCTAAGAAATCATGCTTTTTCATTTTGTCAAGGTGAACGGGTCTAAATACAACAAGACTCATGGCCCTCACTGATGCTCATGTAACAAAGCCAGTCTGCTGCTGGAAACAAACAAAACTGACCCAGAATTCAGAAGTGAACAGACTTAAGCTGTAGATCGTAGCATGCAGAGTAATCTTTGGCTCCATTAGTGGTTCTTATATCAGAACTTAAGCTCAGTGATTGGAGGTCTCAAATCACAGATGTACACAAGTTTCCATCTTGGACTTCATCAGAGAACCAGATGTTTTGTAGCACATCTGTTAATCATTTGGATTAATTATTGAACCAGTGGATATACTGATCCAAGTGACTGAAAAGTCAAGCTTTTTAGCTTTGCATCATGACTTGATGTCAAAAGTCACCCTCCCTACTAATGTCCAAATGGTGTTTTTTATATTCCAGAAGACACATCATGTCCAAAATGTCAGTCAACACTATGAGTGAGTATTTCTACCTTCAAACTGCAGTGCACTGATAACATTCAGACTTCCAAAGTTTCCTACAAACCAAACCTGGGTGACTAATCCTGTCAGCTAGGCTGGAACTTTCCATATCATTCTACTCCTTCACAGTCTGTTTCTGGTTCAAACATGTTTGGCTGAATTACGCCAATATTACATTAGCATTGTGTAGTGTAGCGTAGTTCTACAGTGTTTGAGCACAGCTGTAGGTGAGCTGGTGTGCTCAAGATGCAGTGAGTGGGGAGTGGAGGGTGCAGAGACAGACATGGACTTCATTATAAGACAGAAAGGATGATGGTTTTCATGGAAAAAAATGTAACTTTCATACACAGAGATGAGTTTCGGGGGATTTAATTACTGGTCACAGAGTGACTTTCAGAATTAGAAATGTCAAAACAAGACTTTGCATAAGGCCTCCAATAAAAGCTTGAAAACACCCTGGTCCATAATGCTGACATACACTATTCCACCTAATAAACCTTTTACACAAGTGGCTCTTACATGAGGCTCAGTGAGATGTAAGAAATAAGATCTACAGTCGTCTCTGCCTCTGAAGCCTTCAGTCGCTCTGCTCCACATAAACATACATTTCTATGCCCAAAAAGATCTGAGGAGGGCACCCACTGTGCTCAAGTAGTAAATAAAAACACATTTGAAAGCTGTATATCAGCAGGAAAGCACAGTGATTGAAGCAACACATGGAGTAAGTTCCCTCAGACTCAGTTAGTGGGTCAGTAGGTTGAAATCAAACATACCTCTGTTCTCCCGTGGAGCATTTTCAGCTTTGGGTATCGCTGTAATCCGTCTGGTCTGAAAGACAATAACAGTCAAGAGACGAACAGATGCTGTTTACGAATTCTCCAGGATTTGAGGCAGTTTGCACAAATTTTCTCAACTGATCTCAACATAAGACTAAGATTTTTATAGTTATGTAGCAAAAAAGTGTTTGTGTAAACCACCAACAAGTAAGTCTTCAACAACAAGGGGTAAAAAATAAAAAATTGTTTCACACAGATTAAAAAAGTTTTCTGTTGTTAACAATCATTTACAAGTAGTTTGCAACTTTTATCATAAAAATAATAATCTGTAATAATTTAAAACCCCACGTGAATAATTTGTCTTTTAGAATTCATCCTAATAACTTTTACAAATCTGACAGATGTTTTAAATTGAACAGAACTGTTTTTGTTACACAAGGAAGGTATCTAATAAAAGTGTTCAGACGATTAGTAGATTAATGGATTAGTCAACTGATTATTTTATTAAATAAAAATAAATAAATAAATGAATGATTCTAAACAATTACTGGCTTCCAGCTCCTGCAATGTTAGGATTTGCTGTTTTTCTCAGATTTTTTTAAAAACCTAAATTCAGCAATTTTGTATTTTGGACTGTTGGTCAGACAAAACAAAGTCTACATATGTCAGTTTTTCACTAATTGACAAAATTTTATTCACAAAAATGTTGAATCAGGGAAATAATCACTCATGACAATGGTCATTCCCTGTCCTTTCAGGAACTGGCTGCCAATAATTCTTGATTCTGATCAGCTGTTTACAGTTCTAAGTTAAAGTACCTGTGTTTGACCGTATTTAAAGACTTTTCCCTTTGAAAATAAAAGCAAAAATGTCTCAACAACTTTGAAAAACAAATGCAGTGTATTTTCCTCATATCATGAATAATAACCTATAAACAGGTCATGTATGAGAAACAGGGCTGATCTGTGATAGCTGCTGGTGGGAGCACACCTTGGGGACTTTACTGGTTTTGGCGACACTGGAGGGAGGAAGAGGAGCTTCAGGACTCTGTGGTATCTCCTCATCAGGAGCAACATCTGGATTCAGAGCAAAGATGCTCTCCAGGTCGATCTGAGGCAGAAACAAGATGGAGGTAATGCTATTATTAATATTATGACCTTTATTTAATCAGGTCATCTCAGCTGACAGAGATCAAGGGAGCCTGAGTGTAGAGAGCTGAAGTAAAACCAGAGCATCAAGGATCTGATCCAAAATTAACAAAACATCATTCAAAACCTCCATAACATTTAGTACGTTAACAACCAAACATGCATATTATGCAAGTTGCTCCTGAGGGCAGGAGAGCACCTTGGGTTGCAGCTCTGCTGCCACTAGTGTGTGACTGAATAGGTGAATGAGAAATACATTGTAAAGTGCTTTGCACAGCCTAGCTAAGGTTAAAAGGTGCTGTGTAAGTGCAGAATATTTACCATTTATATCTACTATTAAACACTATCTTTGGTTCAGATATGTCTGCAATAACAGTGGGACACAGAGGAGGAGGCATCATGGACTACTACTAGACAGGTGGAAATAAAAAGCTGACTAAAGACTGTGCAGAGTTCCAGAAACTAGCCAGAACGTGATGCCATGACTTCAGCTCGCTATAGCAGCGAACCATTCAGTGCACGTCATGGAACCTTATACAAAATATGTGCAGTAGTCAACAGCGAGAAACAGATATCTTTTTGATCCTCTTTGAATTGTGCCACATAGTGATGTTGGTCAGTTTGAAAGATTACTTTCTGAGAAAAGAAAGTCACAGTTTGTCTTCAAACTAGACCCTGATCAATCCTGGATTTTTAGGCCTGATGCTGACACTGATCATTAGGGAGTAAAAATCTCAATATTGATAAGTCAGCTGATATTATTTTATGCATACACAAACACAAGTTAGATTTAATTTGAGAAGTAAAAATGACGATAGATAGCTAGATAGCTAGATAGATAGATAGATAGATAGATAGATAGATAGATAGATAGATTTGCTTCATTCTCGTAGCTGTAGCTCTCAGCCTGGCCAGACTTAATTTTCACCTCTTTTAATACCTTTATCCTCAATTTCCATGCCAAGGTGATGGCTAGAGATAAAAGATTTGGAGGCATGACTTTGTAAAACCATTGACTTGGCAGTTTAAACTTTGTAGGTGAGACCTACTGCATAATGTATATCCTAAACTGCAACCTTTGCGATTTGCTAATTAAATTACTCCTAACTGCAGTTTTGATTTGTAATCAATTACTTGTCCAGCACCAGTGACAACTTTGTTGGTGATGTATAAGTGTGAGCTTAACAGTTCATCAACAACAAAAAAAGTAGTATTTGACTGTCTTTATGACTTATAAAATTGCATTTTAAATTGACAAACACAGCTGATGACACAGTCTTCTGCTATCAGCTACTGTAGATATTTTTCTAAGATAATATCCCATATGACACACTCAAAGGGGGGGATTTTACCTCAGACACAACAAAACACAGCAAATCAAAAACAGCTAACCAACATCGTCTAAGAATGTTTGAATTATCTAGACTGAATGTGTGCTGATAGTATTTTTGTTTAAATGGTACAAACTAGTGAAAGTTCTTATTTTTTGGAGGTTTGGTATATACTTTAATTTGAAATTTAATAGGGGAAGTCATAATCAGAGGCAGCTAAACATTTATAGACATGTATAAATGATAGTGTGTCTTCTTATTGCTGGCCTACTTTTGAATATTTTAATTAACTGCAGCAGCATGAATAAAACTACAGACAAGTACTTGAAAAGAACTGTGTTTTGCTGAGGCACGAACTGCCTTCTACAAACTTTCTAACAGAGATTCATAAGATAATTTGTCAAACTTGCACGATGAACACACACTACACTGAAATCACTGCCTTCCAGGACATCATGACACAAGCTGGTGTCAGAAAGTGCAGCAGAGAACAGCAGCAGCTTCACCTCTTTCCCTTTGGTGTCCCCATTCTCGATCCACTCCACTGTCACACTCTCGTTGTCCTCGTGCAGTGATGTGACCATCGCCTGGTGTATTCGTCCTGCAGAGAGCATGCAAAGAGAAGCTGGGCTGCTCAGTGCTGCATGGGGCAGTGAAGGCAATGCCTACAGCATGTATGTGCTACTTGAACTTTAAATCAGGGGCGAACGTTAACACAAGCAATGAGCCGTGAAACTAGCACGCAGTATCTCTGACTGTGCAGATTTTTCACTGCAAGAGATAAGCTGGTGTCAGTGTCTGCTGTTTATCATTTTTAGCGTCTACAGATTCAATTTAAACACTTTGATAAGGAAACTGAGATGGTCATGGCTGGAACTGCATCAAATAAGCAATTACTTGACGACTATTAAATAATCACTGTCACTATCAAAATAATTTGGATAATCAATTATGGATTTTAATACTTTTAGGACGAAAAAAATCTAAATGCTCTGATTCCAGCCTTCTAAATTTTAATATTTTTAGTTTTATGCCCTTCTCTATCACAGTAAAATGAACATCTATGGGTTGTAAACTGAATAAGACATCTGCTATCTTGGGCTTTGGAAAAGGCTGATTGACATTTTCCACTACTTTCTTACATTACATAGCCCAAAGAGCGAATCAGTTTATCAGGAAAGTAATAAGTGATGAAAATAACTGTTTGTTATATCAGTCAGAAAAATTGTCATTTGTTCAGCGCTGCACTTGGCCATATTGTGATTTTCATAAGATTTTGATGAATAATTCATTCCTAGTTTGTACTTTATTCTACTTGCCATTCTGACCTTAGGTATTAGAACTCTACTGGTGTAACTTCTCTCTACTCTGTGTTAAAACTGCAGTGACTAAGTGACTATTTTGATCACCAATTAAGTGGTTTGAGTATTTTTTTTAAAGAAAAGTATTTTTTCTCTGTTTCTAGATTCTTAAAAGTGAATATTTTCTGGTTTCTCTTTTTCTCTGTGATGGCACACTGATTATCTTTGGACTGTGGACAAGGGCTCCAACTAATGACTATTTTAATTGTTGCTGAATCTGTCAATCTTCTCAAGTATCAATTAGCTGTTTAATCAAAAACATGTCAGAAAACTGTGGAGAATGTCTACCAGTGTTTCCTAAAACGCAATATAATGGCCTCAAAAGTCTTGTTTGACCAAAACCCAAATACTGAGTTTACTGTCACAGACGAGGAAAGAAATCAGAAAATACTAATATTTAAGAAGCTGCACTCAGAGAATGTTTTTTTCTCAAGAAATCACTCAAAATGATTAATCAATGATCAAAATAGTTAGCAATTAATTTAATAGGTATTGATTAACCGTTGCAGCTCTATTGTAGACAAACCAGACATTTGTCATTCTGGGCCTCCCTGATCAATATTTTTCACCATTTTCTGACATTTTATAGAGCAAACAACTAATCGGATAATGAGAGAATAATCGACAATGAGAGCCGTGATGATCCTGCTGATGGGTGTGGCTGATCACACATCATCATTAGACCTCTCTGTCATTCATTCACTGTGTGCTGCTCGACCTGAGCAGCTGCGTTCACCGGCTGTTAATTGGATTCTTTGTTGTCAATCAATAATTAAAATACACATTTTTACAGCCACAAAAAGCAGCAGATATAAGACACAGGCTTTCCCAGTGTCAGTGAGAGGGGAGAGGCCCCGTGCAGCCGTCCCTCACATTCACAGGCCACTGCTTGATGATGCAGTGCAGCTGCTGCAGGCTCCCCGTCCTCCACCGTGCACCTTTCAGCCATGACGCGGAGCCGCGGAGCGACGAGGGCAGGTGTCACTATTCACAGACGGACCGCCGCACAGGTGGACGGACCCGCCCGCCCCGCTGCCCGGCAGTCCGGCCGGCCCGCCGGCGTGTGTCTACATGACTGACCGACGACAGCAGCGTGTCACAGCGCCACATTTCTGTCGGTTTTAGGGCTCCAGGGGTTGATGCTGCTGGTTTTTACATCGACATGCCGGTGAAAGGCGGCGGACACGGTGATGTAGCCGCGGCTAGCTAGCAGGAACACCCGCTGCGGTGAGTTAGCTGCTCTCCTCCGGACCAGCCCGATGGAGAGCGCTATGTGTGAGCGGAGCTAGCTTACGTACCGTCGCTCCGTTTGATCTCCACGTAAATGCCCACGAAGATCTTCCCGAAAATCCCGGCCATCGCTCCCCGTGTGTCGTTTATCGCTCGGTCCGGTCCAAGTTGTGCTGCGGCGGAGACTGAGGTCACTAACGGTCAGTCATAGGAGAGGCAGGAGGAGAGGAGGCAGTGCGCATGCGCAGAAGCTGTCTCCCACTACTGTACAGTTTAAAGAGCATCTCCTGTCAAATGTAGTGTTTTAATTAGGATTCATCACCGAAATACTGTCAGTGGTGGGAAGAAACACAAGTACATTTATCTGATTGTACTTAATTATGAGATACGTTACTTTAGTATTTCTATTTTACACTTTAAAATAGTATAAATTTAACTTTTTTTTACAAAGTGCTTCACAGCGCAAAACCTTAAAGTCAGTTTTTACCTGTTAGTTCAAATGTACTACTGAAACCTTTACTGCATTCAAGTGATAGGAAGAAAGTTCCTTAATTTGACTTCATTTCTGAGATACTTTACCTGAGTATTTCCATTATATGTCAGTATGAAATAATTGCATTTTTAAAATCTCACAAAGAGTTTCACACAGGGCAGAAAATTCTTGTCAGATTTTACCTGTTAGTAGTGACGTTCGATACCACCGATTTCCTTTCCAATCCGATACTGAGTAAAACACAGGCTGATATTGGCGATACCGGTCCGATACCGATACTTGTGTGCAAACACACCTAATGTGTCTGGTACATCTACAAAAAAAGTGTATTTCAAATCATAGCTTCATAATTATACAAGACATAAGAAAAAAATCATTTATTTGTTTATTTTAAACAAGGAAATGTATTGAAGTATATTGAGGTAGCGGCCCCATTTACATTATAGCCAAGCTAATACAACAATAGAAAACCCAGACAGAGGGCATATATAATAAATGCCACAATAATTGCACAAGTTTGTCAGTACCTTTTAAAATATTCATTTAACAGTGTAAGCAAATTTTAAATAATCATAGGTATGTTTTATAGAGGGGCTGCAGGGTGGCGCAGTTGGTTAGCACTGTTGCTTCGCAGCAAGAAGGTTGCCAGTTCGCGTCCCGGTGGGGGCACTGGAATCTTTCTGTGTGGAGTTTGCATCTTCTCCCCAAGCGTGGGTTCTCTCCGGGTTCTCCGGCTTCCTCCCACACAGTCCAAAAACATGCTTATTCTAGGTTGTCCGTAGGTATGAATGTAAGTGTGCTTGGTTGTCTGTCTCTAAGTGTGGCCCTGCGATGGACTGGCGACCTGTCCAGGGTGTCCCCTGCCTTTGCCCTAAGTTAGCTGGGATAGACTCCGGCCCCCCTGCGGCCCTAGTGAGGATTAAGTGGTGTTTAGATAATGGATGGATAGTTTATGGAATCCACTTTAGACTATGTACACCTTTGACGTGTACATATACAGTTGAAACTACAAGTTTACAAACACTATATAAAAAGACAAATAACCTTTTTTTTTCTCAGTATCTGACATTAAACGTGACTAAACCTGTTTTAGGTCAGTTAGGATTACCAAAATTATTTCTATTTGCAAATGCCAGAATAATGAGAGAGAGAATTTTTTAGAAAAATTTTTATTACTTTCTTCAAAGTCAGAAGTTTACATACATTTCCTTAGTATTTGGCAGCATTGCCTTTAAACAGTGTGACTTGGGTCAAATGTTTTGGGTTTTCTTCCACAAGCTTCTCACAATAGTTTGATGAATTCTGGCCCATTCCTCCTGACAGAACTGGTGGAACTGAGTCAGGTTTGTTGGCTGCCTTGCTCCACACACCTTTTCAGCTCTGCCCACACATTTTCTACAGGATTGAGATCAGGGCTTTGTGATGGCCACTCCACAACATTGACTTTGTTGTCCTGAAGCCTCTTTGTAACTTATCTGGCAGTATGCTGAGGGTCATTGTCCATCTGAAGACCCATTTGTGCCCAAGCTTCAACTTCCTGGTTGATGTCTTGAGATGTTGCTTCAATATTTCCACATGATGTTTTTCCTCATGATGCCATCTATTTTGTGAAGTGCACCAGTCCCTCCTGCAGCAAAACACCCCCACAACATGATGCTGCTGACCCCATACTTCACATTTGGGATGGTGTTCTCAGGCTTGCAAGCTTCCCCCTTTTTCCTCCAAATGTAACAATGGTTGTAACGGCCAAACAGTTCAGTTTTAGTTTCATCAGACCGCAGGACATGTCTCCAGAAATGAAGGTCTTTGTCCCTGTATGCATTTGCAAACTGTAATCTGTTTTTTTATGTTGCTTTTGGAGTAATGTCTTCTTCGTCTCTGAGTAGCCTTTCAGCCCATATCGGTGCAGGAATCATTTCACTGTGGATAATGACACTCTCTTACCAGCTTCAGCAGCATCTTCACAAGGTCTTTTGCTCTTGTTCTGGGGTTGATACGCACATTTCACACCAAAACCCGTTCATCTCTGGGACATCTCCTTCTTGAGCGGCATGATGGCTGGACATTCCCATGGTGTTTAAAGTTGTGTATAATTGGTTGAACAGATGAACGTGGAACCTTCAGGCATCTGGAAATTGTACCCAAGGATGAATCAGACTTATGGAGGTCCACAATTCTCTTCCTGATATATTGGCTGATTTCTTTAGATGTTCCATGTTGTCACAAAAGGAAGCAGTGTGTTTGAGGTGTGCCTCCAATTAAGTCAAATGTTGTCAATGAAGCTATCAAAAGCTTCCAAGGCCATGACATCATCATCTGGGCTTTCCCAAATAGTTTGAAGGCATAGTAATCTTAGTGTATGTAAACTTCTGACTTTGAAGAAAGTAGTAAAAAAATCTCTAAAAAATTCTATCTCTCATTTTTCTGGCGTTTAGCACATAGAAATAATTTTGGTGGGCTGCAAGGTGGCGCAGTTGGTTAGCACTGTTGCCTTGCAGCGAGAAGGTCACCGGTTCGCATCCCGGTGGGGGAACCGGGATCTTTCTGCGTGGAGTTTGCATGTTCTCTCCGGGTTCTCCGACTTCCTCCCACAAGTCCAAAAACATGTTGAGGTTAATTGGTGATTCTAAATTGTCCGTAGGTGTGAATGTGAGCGTGCTTGGTTGTCTGTCTCTAAGTGTGGCCCTGCAATAGACTGGTGACCTGTCCAGGGTGTCCCCTGCCTTTGCCCTAAGTCAGCTGGGACAGGCTCCAGCCCCCCTGCGACCCTAGTGAGGATAAAAGTGGTGTATAGAAAATGGATGGATGGAAATAATTTTGGTAATCCTAACTGACGTAAAACAGGAAAGGTTTAGTCTGAATTCATTTCAGACAGTGAGGGAAAAAAAAGGTTATATGTCTTTCTATACAGTGAATATAAATTCCTGGTTTCAGCTGTATGTCATGATGGATAATCACAATCATACCAAAACTGTAGGACACACGTGGTCTGTAGAATTGTACATTAAAAAAAAAGGTTTAAAGATAACTTGTTTGTGCAAGTATTGCCAGACTTGGTGTTTGTGATGATCTGATCAGCAGTTTAGGATGATTTAGAGCTGATGAGGAAGTTTACTGTATTACCAGAGGGAATGGTGATGTAATAGTAGTCAATAGTGGTCAACTTTAGAAGTGGCCTCAGCGAGATGGAAAACTTTAGTGCTGTGTTAAACTTGACTTGTTTGTTGAAATTTATCACTAAAATATTCACTGTAATCCAGCAGTGAGAAGAAACTAAATACTTTCACTCAACTGTACTTTTTTTTTTTAGCTACTTTAATTATATTTTATGTTACTTCAAATGATAATACAGTTTTTCAGCTACCATGTTACGCATAGGAGTCAATCTATTACTGGATCAAATATTTGGCAGTTTTTAGATTGGCTGAAATTTTGGGAGAACAGATTCTTCACAAAATTAGTTAATTTTAAAATGCACTGCGTTAGCTGTGACACAGCTGCCTCTGTCACAACTCTGTTCTCCAGCAATGTCTCACCACAGGGCTATTTGATCAGTCACATGTCAAGAGTAGCAGCCAATCAGCACTGACGGATAAATGTTCTTTCCTTTTCTTACAACAGAACATGAATAAACAATGTCGTATTAATTGTCATGTTGGAGTGAATTTTAACACCAAGACTTTAATTTTTACTGTAAATGTATATCAGTTTCCATATCTGATTGGTCTTGATTATTAATAATTAATATCAGTCCTTAATAATCATATTAGTCGACTCCTGATTTAAAGTTAAAAAGAATGACTTTAAAATTCAGTTCAATTCAATTCAATTTTATTTGTGTAGCGCAGTTTACAACACATATTATCACACAGCGCTTAACAAAGAAAGGTATAGACCTTACAAATTTAAACAGAGAACCCAACAACCCAAAGTAGCCTTTGGAATTCCTCTGAGCTAGCGATTGGCAACAGTGGGAAGGTACTAAAATACCTTAAAAGTAGAGAGGGTGTCTGTCTCCTGAACCCAAACTGGGAGCTGATTCCATAAGAGAGGAGCCTTTCGGACTGCTGAAGCTTATAGGGAATCCAAATGTTTTGGATTGTTGGGTGTTTCTGTTTCTGCCTTTGTGAAGCGCTATGAGATGACTTGTTGTTGTAAATATGCGCTATACAAATAAAATTGAATTGAATTGATATCTGAAGGCTCTGCCTCCCATTCTACTTGTGGAAACTCTAGGAACCACAAGTAGACCTGCAGTCTGAGAGCGAAGGGCTCTCTTAGGATGATACGGTACAATAAGGTTTTTAAGGTAAAATGGAGCTCGGTCATTGAGAGTTTTATATGTTAAAAGCAGGAATTTAAAATTTATCCTGGATTTTACAGGGAGCCAGTGAAGAGAAGCTAATATGAGAGAAATATGATCTCTCTTACTGGTAAAAGAGTGTCTCTGTGAGCTATAAAGACATAGATTTTAAATTGTAACATAATAATAAATGCATGAAGCCTTTGATGTTTGACAACAGCTGTTGTAGTGGTGCCTCACACCAAACTTTGAAGTAAAAAAAACATCTGTCAAGTTTCACCTGTTAATTAATATTTATCACTGAAATTTTACCTTAATTTCGCACTACTTTACTCATGTTTT